CAGCTGAAGCACTCAACACATCAGACAGATTCTTGTAGGCTTTCTTCACATGGTGGAAAAGCTAGGGAATTGAGGCAGAGAGAAGGACATAGTGAGGAGCCAGGCCGTGAGAGGACAAGAGCCATCTCTCCCTAAACTGTTCCCCTTGCCTTTAGAATGGAAAACTTGTTCTTCTGGACTAGTGGCCTGAGGCCAAAAAACATTGTGTTTACACATTGCCTTGTGGTAGACACTGGGGAGACAGATGGTTTCTCCATTAGAGTGTTAGATTTATTTTTAGCTTTTTTTGATCTGCAGCACATTTTAAAGTTGCTTATCACGTTTACTTCTGAAAATAACCCCATGAGGAACAGAGGGACAGGGAAGATTTCTTTATCTGTGTTTTACAGGTAAGGGAAGTGAGGCTGAAAGCAGGGTCATGTCACTATAGGCAGTGGTGGCTGGGCGGGGACCCCACACCCTCTGTCTAGTTTGCACCATGATGCTCTCTTCACCTTTGCCCCAGTCAGCCTTACTCCTATTCTGATTTCACTCCCCAAGAAAGGGACAGTGAGTCAGTGACTTGCTGAATTCACCGTGCCTCCATGCTAGCCCTTTCCTCAGAACCCCACAACGCCTACTTGGAGGCCTTGAAGAGTCTCAGGCAGCTGAGGTGGGCCTGCCTCACTCCTCTGTTGGCAGCTGTGCAGAGAGTACCTGATTCCCCTGGCTTCCAACTCCCTGGTGGGCTTCAGGAAGACACAGAGAATAGAATGGCTTTCAGAAGTCTGAGTTTTGGACAGAAGGAAGGAAACCAAAAAAGAAGGTCATCCCAACGTCCATGGGCACGGCTCTGGCAGGGGCAGCCCCATTCCAACGGTAGGGTCACTAGCTGGGTTAAGCCACAGAGGCTCAGGAGTAATGAGCTAGATATGAAATCTGACAAGAACACCAGGAAGTAGTGTGGAGTCATCTTTCTTTAACCCAAGGAGACACACCCAACCTCACTCTCAGCTCAACCCCAATCCCAGGCTCTCTCCATACAAAGCCTATTACCCTAGGATTTGGTAAACCCATGTGGGCCTCAACCCAACCCTGCCCTGATGCTAAACAATGCAAGAGTCCTGGGAATCTGAACCTTAAATGAATGAATTTATGAGCTAAACAGAGACAGGGCTATCTCACTTTAAAAATCAGAGTCTCTTGAGAGGATATGTTCTTTTGCAAACGAATAAATGAATAAATGAAACCCCCACCATTTGCAGAGATTTTATTCTCTATGACATGCCTTCATGTGGATGATCCCATTTGATCCTCACACAGTTGGGGGCCCTGGGCCTGAGGAGGTGGGTCAGAGCCAGGATTCAAGCTTAAGTCTCTAATACTTGAGATTGAAATTTGAATTTAAAACTCTCTTAGGAAATCTCAAATGGGAGAGTGAATTTTGGGTTGGTCAAAGCAATTGCTTTCCGCTCACAAATGAGCGGCTTTTTGAGAACAGGTGTTGGTGAATGGGGTTACAGGAGGTCAGTGGTTATAAGTGGTCCACATGCATTCATTGATCAAGCAGTGAGCTTGGCCCAGCAGAAAGTGGGGAGGTGTGCTTGTGAAAGCATAAGAAATTTTAAAATCACATACACTTACAATCCAGCCTAAGGGAACTTATGACTGGACAGAAGGTTCTGAAAGACAGGAAGGTGTGACTTTGGGCTTTGTGCGAGAGACTATAGCTCCCTTTGGAGTCCAGGGACTTCTCGTCTGTCCCAAATTCTGGTTTAGAGACTTAGACTGCGGGGACAGCCCAGACTCCATCAGGAAGGAGCACTGTCGCATGAGAAAAGCCTTAGAGATGAGCACTGCCTCCTCAAGGAAGGAGCGTGTGCACACACACACAGAATGGTTCAGCCCCAGGGCTAAGAGCAGGGGAATTCAACAGACCTAGTTTCTCCAAGGAACAGGCCCAGGAGCTTCTCATCCAGAACCTTCTCTCAGTTCTGAAAGGAGCTTAGCCAGCCCAGAAGTCTGGAGCATAGACAGATCAGAGGGTTGGTGGGGAGATAAGGGAAGTTCCCAAAGGGTCTGGCACAGGAGGTGGCGACAAGGACAGCCTGTGTTCACGGGGATGGCAGGGGTGGGAGGCACGCCCGTCGGGTGGAGCTGTGACTGACTGGCGGCTCTGACACGCCTGAGCCAAGTGCAGCCCGGGCCCCGAGTCACTAGGAAGCACCCCGCGCCAGGGCCAGCTGCCTGCGTCACAGCGGCAGCTCCGCACGGGCATGACTTGCTCCACTCAGGGCCCAGGGCCTGGTAAATGCTCCTGCTGACCAAGGCAGCGAAGGGGACAGGGCTCCACCTGGCTGGGAAGCCTTCCTGGGGCTTCTCACTCCACAAGAGACCTCTTGCTTATTGTCAGGCTCCCAGCTGGTCAAGAAGTAAAAAATGCCAAAGCAAAAAAAATTCAAGGTCACAAAAACTGAGGCTTTTAAAAATGTTTGGTTTTAGCACACCCCATTTAAAATATCTGTGCAATACTGTTGTGCTATTTTCAAGAAAATTACAGAACTTCTAACATTTTCATTGATAGTTCACCAATTACAAGTGGTGTGGGATCTGGCAACAAGACTCAAGTTTAGTTTTACAATTAGTTTTTAGTTTTACACTTTAGTTTTAAATTAGTTTAGGTTTACAATTAGTTTTTCACCTCAGTCTTTGTGGTGTGTCCCCAAGATTGTTACATGGGCAACTGGAGATAAAGCCAAGAATCTAAGTGCAGCATCCTTTGTGATAGAAGGCCAGGGGAAATGGCCCCCTGGGCCCCCTTGAAGAGGTCTGCCCGGCAAGAGGCCACCTTAGAAGGAGGAGGGGAAGGAGGAGAAGCTGCAGGGCGGCCTCCTCCCGCTTCCCTCCCCTCTGTCTCCCTCTGCTCCTTCCTTTCCACGCTTTCCCCCATGAGGACCCACACAGCACACGGAGGAGGGGCGCGTGCCTCTGCTCACACGTGTGGCACAGGGAGAGGAGTGTCCGTGCGAGCGTGTGTGGGCTGGGTGTCCAGGGCAGGGGTGTAACAGGCGTAGGTGGGCTCCCTCGCCCCTCCAGGGTAAGCCCTGCCCTCGTCCCTGTTTCTTGTCACACTCAGCTCCTTCCAAGGAACAGACTCAGGCTAAATATCTGGTGAGGGGCTTCTGCTGAGCTAGCTTTGAAAGCTAGCAGGAAGCCAGTACTGGGTCACACAAGGGAAGAGCTGAGCCGATGTGGGCTCCAAAGAAAGGGGGGGAAGCCTGGAGCAGAGGCAGTGATCCCAGGGTCCAGATGCAGCTGAGATCCAGCCCCCTCTCTCTCAAGGAGCCCCGAGAAACCTGCATCTCCAAAGTGTCCCGGGCCCTAGGAAGGGGAGGGGCAGACCGCCGCAAGTTGTGAAGAAGCAGCAAAGAGGGCCATTGGAAGCAACGTGGAAACAGATCCTGGAGGAGACCAGAGGGGCTGCCACAGGGACCTGGGGAGGGGAAAGGACAGGCAACCCGACAAGCTAGGGCGGGAAGTCTGAGAGAGACGCCAGTTTTTGTCTGCAGCCTTGGGTCTACCACAGTTTCCTCAGCTTAATTTGACTCAAACCACATGGCCCTATCTGAAGCATCATCAGAACCAATGGGAGAGGCAACCCCAGAGCATCCTTCAGCAACCTGTTCCACTATGTCTCTGAGGCGGGCGGGAAGTTCTTTACATCCCACCCCGATGCCATCAACTCCAACGCATATGGGAAGCAGCAATACCAGATCAGAAGAAATGAAAGTGGTTTCCCTGCAGCTTTTTTAAAAATCGAAATATAGTTGATACACAATATTATCTAAGTTACAGGTGTACAATACAGTGGTTTACGATATTTAAAGGTTACACTCCATTTATAGTTATTATAAAATATTGGCTATATTTCCTGTGTTGTACAATATATCCTAGCTTATTTTATACATAATAGTCTATACCTCTTAATCCCCTATCCCTCCTTATATTGCCTCTCTCCACCAGTAACAACTGGTTTGTTCTCTATACCTATGAATCTTCTTTTTTTTTTTGTTATACTCACTAGTTTGTTGTATTCCCCCACAGCTTTCAGTTGTTTCCTTGTTTATTTCCCCAGGAGCCTTCACATCTGGGGAGAAATTCTTGGTGTGTGTCCTGCTGGCAAAGACCAGCATTCTCTGAGCTGAGCCCTGGGGAGGAGGGGTGAGCGGGGGCAGACTCAAGGGGACGGCAGCACTTCCTTCCCAAGAGCTTGCTGAGCCCACGGAGATGTAGGGCTTTGTCCTGGGTCTGCTGTTATATAGCTTCCTGGCCTTGACAAGCTACTGCTCCCCTCCAGTACTCAATTTTTATAAATAGTTGAGTCTGGACTCTGTGAATTTCAAAACAGTTTTAGCAATGCTACATTTTTTTTCAAATGGATGCTTCAGCTAACCCTTAATATGTGTAGCAGATGTTAAAACCACAGAGCTCCTCAGGTTGGCACAGGGGTGAGTTGCGGGGTCCCCCAAGGCCATCCCCTTAGTCTCCCTCCCTCAGGTGGACTCCACAGAAATGGGGCACAGTTTGAAAACCACTGAGCTATGGAACCAGTAAGGACCCTTCCAGATGTAACACCCCAGTACTCTACGGCTCACATATCCTCACATCCCTCCTGTAAGGGGAGAGATGATTTTCTCATGCTGAGGACTAGAGTGGTTAAGGGTGTTCTCCAGGAAACCCTGGGGCTCCTGATTCATAGCTCAGAGTGCATTTTGCCAAGATGGCTGACACTCTAGCACATCAGCAGCTGGGCCTCTGCGACAGGGAGCCGGACACTCAAACCCCTGCTGCTTTCTCACCTGCTGGATTCAGGCCAGCAAGGAGATGCTTCCACAGGTCCCTCCCGCAGCTCCCCGAGCCATCCCGGCCAGTTCCAGCTGCAAAGACACGTGCTCTTTTTACTGAGGCCCAGCAGGCCGATGACCTTCCGTGTTCCTCCCCGCAGGTGCATCGCCTGGATCATGAGGTCATCCCTCTGCTGGCTCCTCACACTTCTCCTCATCTTGGCCTCAGCGGCCCAAGGCCAGCCAACAAGACGACCGAGACCCAGACCGAGGGCCCGGCCCAGACCCAGACTCAGGCCCACACCCAGCTTTCCGCAGCCCGATGAGCCAACGGAGCCTACAGACCTGCCTCCCCCCCTCCCCCCAGGGCCCCCATCTGTCTTTCCTGACTGTCCCAGGGAGTGCTACTGCCCCCCTGACTTCCCATCCGCCCTCTACTGTGACAGTCGCAACCTCCGAAAGGTCCCTGTCATCCCATCCCGCATCCATTACCTCTATCTCCAGAACAACTTCATCACTGAGCTCCCAGTGGAGTCCTTCAAGAACGCCACGGGCCTGAGGTGGATCAACCTGGACAACAACCGGATTCGAAAGCTGGACCAGAGGGTGCTGGAGAAACTCCCCAGCCTGGTGTTCCTCTACATGGAGAAGAACCAGCTCGAAGAGGTGCCCGCGGCACTGCCCCGGAACCTGGAGCAGCTGAGGCTGAGCCAGAACCAGATCTCCAGGATCCCGCCCGGGGTCTTCAGCAAGCTGGAGAACCTACTGCTGCTGGACCTGCAGCATAACAAGCTGAGCGACGGCGTCTTCAAGCCCGACACCTTTCAGGGCCTCAAGAGCCTCATGCAGCTCAATCTGGCCCACAACACCCTGAGGAAGATGCCCCCCAAGGTGCCCGCCGCCATCCACCAGCTCTACCTGGACAGCAACAGGATCGAGGCCATCCCCAGCGGGTACTTCAAGGGCTTCCCCAACCTGGCCTTCATCCGCCTCAACTACAACCAGCTCTCGGACCGGGGCCTCCCCAAGAACTCGTTCAACATCTCCAACCTGCTGGTGCTGCACCTGTCGCACAACAGGATCAGCAGCGTGCCCACCATCAGCAGCAGGCTGGAGCACCTGTACCTCAACAACAACAGCATCGAGAGTGAGTGCAGGGCCGGGGGCGGCACTCCGGGGGCAGGGTGGGGGGTGGCCGGCTCTCCCACCTCGGCGCTTTCATGCGGGCCTCATGCCTGCGGACGCAGAAGCACCCAGTCTGGCACATCCTCAAACCTTAGTCTTTCCACTTGTGGCCCACGTGACCTCTCTGGGACGTCTCCTCATTTCTAAAATGGCACAAAGTGTATACGAAGATTTACTAGTTTAGTATGGATAAAGTGCCCAGAATACCATGCTTGGAGGGTAACAGCTTTTCTGCCTCCAGCCCTTCTCACCAGCCCCTGCTCCTTTGCCCTCCAGACCTGTAGGTAAGGGAGATGTGAAATACAGTCCTGGACATTCTCCTAAAGAATGGTGACATTTAAATGCTGACTCTGGAATGTCCTGGATCTGTCTACTGCAGCTGTGGGAAAAGAGGCTTCTTCCCAAGCCTGAGCCTAGGTTTTAAAGAGTCTGTAAAAACATACACAGAGAGGCAGTTCTGTGTATACTATGAGTGGCTGGTGGTTTAGTCGCTAAGTTGTGTCTGACTCTTTGCAGCCCTGTGGACTGTAGCCTGCCAGACTCCTCTGTCCGTGGAATTTTCCAGCAAGAATGCTGGAGTGGGTTGCCATTTCCTTCTCTAGGGGATCTTCCCCACCCAGGGATCAAACCTGGGTCTCCTGCATCACAGGCGAATTCTTTTACCAACTGAGCCACCAGGGAAACCCCACACTAAAGAGCATACGACTGGGAAAGACGTGGCAGTCAGAAGAACACGTCTGTATGTGGATGCTTTCTGAATCTACCTGGAAGGCTAAAAGATTTGGTCATAAAAGTCAGTACACTCAACGCAGAATTTGCCTAAGCTACATTTACAGGGTCCCGGGCTTTGGATAAAAATTGCAGGTCAGAAAAAAGACTGGAAGTGACACTTTTGCCCAATCAAAAACATCAGATCTGAGTAGAGCATCAACAGAGCAATTTAAAAACAAAAGCGACAATATTCTCTGGCCCCTGGACAAAATCAGGCTACATCCACAAGACAAATGCAGCAGCTGCAGGAATGGAGACCAAGGAGAAAGAGAAGCACCCTAAGATGATATTAGGAATCCTTAGCTTTTAAGCCAAAAGATGAGAGGGAGATTTTTTAATTTCTATAATCTCGAAACAAATGGATGATAGAACAGGCTCATCTGAGATAATCACACAAAGGTAGGGGAAGGCTTCTTAAATCTTGCAAGAAAGAAATTCAGAAAAAGGCAAAACTGTCTAATTTTACCCTGCAGGTAGCAAACTGATGGAACACATTACTCCCACGAGGCTGTATAGGCCAAAAATCTAGACAGAAAGGATACCCTGATTAATAAATGGTTGACAAGTTTCTACCAGACTGTGGATAAAAACAGGCCGCAGCGGGAGGGGGCGGTTATCCAACCTTCTGAGGTTGAAGACAGAAAGATTTCACCCACTCTCAACATTTCACAGATTTCAGAACAGCGCATCAGGGGGGTAAAGTCCAAAGCCACAAAGGTCATAGGAAGAAAATTCATCTATGTCAGGGCTCTTTCTGCTACTGCAATGCTGAAGAGAGAAGAAAGCGGAGAGAAGGAAGATGAGGAAGAGGATGAAGGAGATGAAGAGCAACCAACCACCCACCCGCAGAAGATAAAAGAAGCAAGGCTTGGGGAGGATAGAAAGCTTCATTTAGAAGAGGGAATAACTCACGTCATATAACAAAAGGTGAAGGGGAAAACGGAAACCCATCTTCCATTTGAAAACGTACCTCCATTTGCCCATCTCTTACCTTTCTAGCTCACTTTCCCCAGAGTCAGTCATCACTCCAGCATCAACGGCTCCATCACGTCCTGGGGCCCCGTGCCCCTCCCTGGTCCCCCTTTCTCTTCGTGTCATCCCTAGTTCAGAAATGTAGCCATCTTCTGCCCACCCTCAAGCCTCAAATCCTGTTTATAGGAAAACCTCCAGGGTAATCCATCCCCTGCTGGCTTCAGATCTTGCTTCCCTCCACTGTTTCTCCACATGTAGCCAGATTCATCTCTCTACAGTATAAACCTGATCATAGGGCCCTTCCAGATTTAGCTCCCCCCACCCCGACCCGGGACACTAGTTCATATATCCCACCATCCCTCTCATAACAGCAGTCCTGCTCAGTGACGTTCCTCAGACTAGAAATCAGAGACCCTATCCTTAGTGAAATATCTGAAAGTCTTTCATAATTGGTAGCCAAAACTGGAGCCTCTCCAGTTTACTCTGCTTAGTATATCATGTTGTACTGTTTACTGGTTCCAAGCTCTGCCACAAGCTTTTTGCGCTCCACAACATCATTCAAATAGGTCACAGCATCAGAACACCATCCCCAGGTCTCTACGTGTTAATCCTATCTTTGAAGGGTCAGCTCAAAGTTCACTTCCTCCATGACTCTTTTTTTTTTTTTTTTGATGATTTCACTTATATGTGAAATACTACATATTGTATTTGATTTCACTTATCAAATCACTATATGATTTCACTTGTAAGTGAAATCTTTTTTTTTTTTTATTTTCTCTATCTTATTTTTATTTTTTTAAAACTGTTTACAATATGTTTATTTTTTTTTTCCATTGTTGAAAATAGTTCATTTTTTTTTTTTTTCCATGACTCTTTAGAGTGAGTTTACAATAACAATTGTTGATCAGTTCCAACTTAGTTCATTTTACAAACGGGTAAACCAAGCCTGGAGGTTAGGATCAATCACTCATGGTCGCATGTTCCCAGGAACTGGTGAGACAGTTCCAGAGAAGAAATCTCTAGGGTCCTTATTCTTGTCCACCCTCTTCTCCCTCCACGTTTTGGCCTCTAGCCCTGTGTGGCCTGACCCCCTGCCCACCTCTCCTGCTGACTTCTCCTTTTCTTTCTCCACAGAAATCAATGGGACCCAAATTTGCCCCAACAATCTAGTTGCCTTCCACGACTTCTCCTCGGATCTGGAGCACGTGCCGCACCTCCGCTACCTGCGGCTGGATGGGAACTACCTGAAGCCGCCCATCCCGCTGGACCTCATGATGTGCTTCCGCCTGCTGCAGTCCGTGGTCATCTAGGCCCTCCTGTGCCCCTGGAGCTCCTCCAGCCACACTGAATGCCCGTGCCCACAGTTTGTTTGCTCTGTCTCCTTTTCCTGCTCCCAGCTCTGCCTTTCTTATCCCACCTTCCTGAGTCAGAGACAAGCCACATACTCTGCTGCCCCTGCAGCTTCTAGAACAAGATTTCCAAAGGCTTGATTTGGTCCACCCAGTTCAAAGACACCCTCTGTGCACCCCAACTTCTTTTCTCAGAAGCATAGGTGTATGTCTAAAGACGTCCCACTCTCTTCCTCCCCTCATCACTCCTGGGTTAGCCTGGGCCATGGACTGAAATCTGGTTCTCGTCCTGGCCAAAGCAAGCAGAGAATGATCAGGGGCAGCCTAGACATGAAGTTTGGAAAGTTCTGCTGGAAACTCCTCTACTGTGGGCAGCTCTGACCCAAACAGACTGAGGAACTCAGGTCTCCTGGGTCAAGGATCCCATCTTCCAAAACTGCTGCTGCCCTGCCCCGTTCACGGGCACCAGACGGGCACCCACCCTCTGCCAGCTTGGGTTCTGGAGAGGAAGTGCAAGGGAACGGCTGAAGAAGGGCACAGGCTCAGAGATGCGCACAGGGACCCACTGCTCCTTCACAGGGTGAGACGGGCCCCTTCTTGGCATGCGGCCTCCTGGCTGAGCCTCTGTGCCAACAGTAAGAGCAGGGAGGAACATTCCAGGAGAAGAAAGGCCCAAAAACCGAGGAACCAGCCAGTGGGAGAGGGTCAGAGCCCAGGATGGCCCGTGTGGGTGCAGATGGCCCCGTGGCTGCTGTACAAGAGGCCCAGTGCCTGAGGAGCAGCATCCACGGGGAGGGCACAGAGCCACCAACCCTGCCCTGCCGTGCGCTCTCTGTCCCTCCGTTGCTGGGGAGCGGCTCCTGAGAAACTGCTCGAGAAGGGGCGGAGAGCCAGAAACCTCCCAGAGCCCGCTTCTGCTTGTGCAGCGGCCTCCCCTCTCAGCCAGGCACTGCAGTGACATCTGGTGGCTGCACTGCCCTGTACATCTGTAGGTGTGCTGTACAGCTGGCCCGTGTCTTCATCATCATTCTGGGGTGATTTGCCAAGGTCAGAAGTTGGCCTCAAGTTCCCACTTGAAAAGCTGTGGGCAATACGTATGGTCTCTATCCTCTGGGGTCTATAGGGCACTCAGGTATAGAGGCACCAAGATAGGGGAACTGGTTCCCATATGAGCGAACCCAAGAGGGAAACTTCAGGAACCCAGAAGAGGATATGGCTTGTTCCCCTCTGCCCTCTCACCTTGCGGGTCCCTTCTGCTCTCTGCTTCCAGGTGGTAGACTAAGGAGGTGGCTATGGTACCCCTTCAAGGACCCTCTGGAGCTCATGTTCCCCATGCAGCTCCACCCTCTAGACCATGTTCTAAGGCAGGACAAGTCCTAAATATTATCCCCTTCCTTCACAATAATTTATTCCCTGTATGGACTATCCTTCCCCCAAAGTTTTCACACACACTGCTCCCCAATCTGGCCCGGGGAGCAGTGTGTGAAAGGCCTCTAAGGGAAGCCCAAGTCCCACAGAGCCAACTGACCTTCATCTCCCCCTTCCTCCCTCTAGTGGGTGGAGCTGCCCCCCCTACCGCCCCCAAGTGTACTTTGGTGGGACTGGGGACGGGGTGTGTCCTAGAAATGAATAGGACACAGTGCCCACTCTCAAGTTAGGTTGAGAAAAGTTCCAGAGATATTTAAGAAATTGGATTAAGCTAGCTCCCTAACTTCAAGAAATCTCCATTTTATTCTAATTTTTCTCTTTTGCTAATTTACAGAAAATAGGCCCGTTTCATCAAGTTCCTCCCCATGTTCCCATCCAACTGCTTCATTCTTTGCAGCTGCAGCTAGTTTCTCCAAAGCTCTTTCTTAAAGTCAAGATAAATTGTAGCCAAGGTGCTAGGCTTGGATAAGCCCCCTTGTGTGTCTTACTCCCACCTTGCACCCTCAAGCACCTCTGATAATAAGCACAGCACCTAGGACTCCTCAGGGAGGAGGGGTCATTCCCCTTCTCCTGCAAACCTGAACTGTTTTGTTTCAGTAGCAACAGAATCACCATCATCCCATTGCCCTGTCTAGAATATGTCGGCTTCCTCTAGAGCTCCCTGCAGCTGTAAACCAGAGGAAATGAATTGCCTGTAGAATCACACACACACACAACACGCTGGGTTCCCCTGGGTTTAAGGAGGCTGCCTCCTCCATATACAACTTCATTCTCTCAGTGCTGTTGGCATAGGCACATACAGATGTGTAAGTAGGTGTGTATGTGTACTCTGTACCTACATCTATTCTTTCTTGAAGGTCATAACAACTTTGTGAAACAACTTTCACATTTCATCACGCTTCACAGCAGAGAAAATAAAGTGATATGAAAAATATCCTGCTTGAATTTGACAATGTAAACAGGTGAGAATAGTACCTTAAATTCATCTTGCCACCCTCTCCCCCTGCCTCCAACCTTACTACCTCTGAGAAGACTGGTAGAGATAGGATCCTATTCCTAAGAAACTCTAGGGAAATGATTCTAAAACCTTTTCTTGGTGAACTTCCCCCATTCCTAAACTCAGATAAAAAAATCTGGCAGCTACATGTGAAGCCCAAAACTCCAAGTTCTTTTCAACCCACAGATACTACTAGATGGTTGAGGGTCTCCCAAATGCTCAGTACTGAGACAGATACAGAGAGACACAAACCAGACTCCATTCCTAACCAGACAAAACTTACAGACTAGTTGAGGACCGGTAGTATAAGATGCACAGAACAGTGTGGCAGAGGTATATCAAGTGCAGTAAGCAAAGGACCAACCACTTCATCTGGAATGGTCTGTAGGCCATGCAGATATTCACAGAGGGGCAAGATCAGGATGCCCTGGAACCTCTCTTCAGGTGAAAAGTTTGTTTCAGAACCAACCTTGTAATCCTCCCGGACTACACCTTCTTTTGGATAAAAAACTGCCAGATACTGTCCCACTCCTGCTACCTTGCCTCCTAAATTTCTGCCTCAGTTCAATTCAGCAAGTGTGTATTCAGCAAGTGTGTATCAACTGTGTGCAAGGTTTCTAACTAAGAATTCAAGGACAGGTAATATATGCCCCCTTGCCCTTGAGGAATTCATAAAGGGAAAATCCATGAATTAGTAATTGCATGTCTTAAGTGTCTGAAATAATGCTGGGTACAAAAAGCATTGTGGAGAGGGTCTCTACTTTTGCCTGGGAGAAACCAGAATGGTTCCTATCATTTGCGCTGGATCTTAAGATTTGAATCAGATTTTGCCAGGTGGGAGAAGGAGGAAAAAGCACATAAGCAGGAAAGAAGGGAACCAGCTTGAGGAAAAGATCAGAAGACATGGAGTCTATCGTGGTGGGGGGTGGGGGGGGAGAGCTGTGTGTGGGGTGTGTGTGTGTGTGTGTCTGAGAGAAGAGGAATGATTTGCAGTCATGGATTTATGTGGCTACAAGCCCTTGGCAGGAAATAGACCCCTGCTATCAAAAAGCAGGGGAGTTCCAGAAACGTCCACCTCTGCCTCTCTCTGTGCCCAGGAACAGGGAAGCAACAGGGTCAACCTGCCCCAGACCTCTGTCCCCAGGGCCTGCCACCTCCACTCCATCATCACGCCTCCTGCTTCTCCTAATGAGACTCGGATTAGAGTGGCTCTCCAGGGCTGAGCTGCCTGGAACAACAGCAGGACAGTTAGAGGGTTCCCATGCAGATCATTCACACACACCCCACAGGCCCTCATACACACGCACACACACACCATGGACCCTCGCGCGCACACACACACACACACCATAGACACACACACACACACCATAGACACACACACACACCATGGACCCTCCCTGAAATCCATGGTAACCAGACAGCGTGTCGGGTGTGTTTGTGAAGCCGAGAGTAGAAGGGCAAGTTGAGGGTCTAGAACTGGAAGCCTGAATCAGAAGCGGCTCAGCCGGGGGCCTGCGGAGCAGGGAACTGGCGCACGCGCGGTGGGACCAGAAGCGGCCGAGAGCGGGAGCAGGGCTTGCAGGGGCCACAGGCACCGACCAGAGAGCAGAAGCGCTGGCGGTGCGGCCCAGGGGAGCGGGGGCCGACTGCAGGGGAGATGAAGGAGCAGTCACACCGCTTTCTTCTCAGGGAACAAGCGGTGCGGCCTGCTGACTGGAGTGGGCTGGGGAATCTGAACGCAGAGCCTCGGCTGTGGAGAAGGTTGAGGACCGCCCACCGCATGCGCCGCCCGCTTCCTGGGCACCTTCCGGGCTCCAGGACTCTCTCTCCACCTGCAGAGCCCTTTGTGTCTCTCCTCGTGCCAGGGGCTGCCGGGGGATCAGGAACAGGAGACCTTGCTCTGGAGACAAGGTTCCTGGGCTGGGAAAGACCCCTCCATTCCAGCTGGTGCCCAGGAACACAGCAAGCCAGGCTCTACCCCTTGGGCCAGGCTATTAGCTCTGCCCCTTCAGGTATTGTGCCAGGGCAGAGATGAGTTCTGCCAGGGCCATCTGTTCTGAGGGCACAGAGACGCATGGCCTCAGGACTTCTAGGGTAAGGCAAACAAGGCAGCTGCTGCTGCTGCTAAGTCAGCAGTATCAGTCGTATCCGACTCTGTGCAACCCCATAGATGGCAACCCACCAGGCTCCTCTGTCCCCGGGATTTTCCAGGCAAGAACACTGGAGTGGGTTGCCATTTCCTCCTCCAAAAGAAGGCAGGGGTCATATGAATTAAGGATTTAGGCCCTGACTCTGGCTCTGTGTGATCTTGGGCAAGTCACCTCTCTTTGCTGGGCCTCTGATTCTCCACCTGTACTATAAAAGATTTGGATTAAATGATCCTAATGATTAATTAATGATCCTGAGACCCATGCAGCTGGGATTCAGTACATGATTAGCAGGAGGAAGCAGAGACGAGGCGCATTATGTAAGAACCTGGGCAAACTGTGTACACAGGCTGGCAGAATCAGGAGGAGGGTGTCTGAGCTCCTTCCCACCACCTTCAGCAGGGGCTTGCCTAAGGCGCCAGGGAAAGAAGAGTCTCTCCCGAGAAGTGAGTCTTTGGTAAGGACCCTGGAGTGGGGAGGTTCTCCTCAGACACCTGAGGGCCCCACACGATGCTTTCTGGTGTTTATGATCAGGAAATGCTTTTCTAGGGTCCAGCCTTGTAGGTCCAGAGAGTTTCCTATATCTTCCTCTCCATCATTGTCTGAGAGCTTGAAGCTGGTTTTCAAATTCTACTGTATCCCCTGTCCATCTCCTCTTTGAATCTCTCTCCCTGTGGTGATTTTGGTGCACTGATAGTCCCATATTAGAGGTTCAGGTGGCAGGTAGTGGTGCTAGTCAGAGTACCTCAGCTGAACCTCTTTAAATATTTGAATTTCATCTCTGAAACCAAAGCCGCCTCACTCTCGGGCTGGAGAAGACAGCGGGAAAGGTGAGCTCCATCCCTCCACAAAGCCCCACGGCTGCCTTCTCTTCTTGGAGAGCTCAGGATCTGAGGGGTGGGTGTCCCCTGTAGGGGTGGTAGCCACTTGCCCCCTCAAAGAGAGTGTGCCAGAAAAAGAGACAGATGGCAGGCCGAGAGAGGAAAGGATGAGGTGGGAGGTGGGAGGGGTCCGTGTGGGGCTGGGAGGGGAGGGCTGGGGGGAGGGAGAGAGAGAGTCTTTCCAACCAAGCTGAGGAGTGACGTGAGGGACCCGCTGAGGAAAGAGGAGAAGAAACGGCTGGACGGCAGGGAAGAGAGAAGTCACTGGCTTGACTCGCTCCCCGCCCTCCCCAGGCAACCTTCTACCCAGGCCCCTCAGAGGGTCAAAACTTCTCCGTCAGAGTTCCTGCCTGTCTAGAAGCTGTGAGGCTCCATTTGGAACCCAAAGTCCACAGGGTAAGGTTACAGGCTTTGAGGTATTAGGCCTATTGGTGCGCAAATGAGGGCGAGTGCGGCAGAGGGGAGCACTGGGCTCAGCGGGGTGGGGTGTTGGCTTTGAGGTTGGAGGGAGGCAGTAACTCTAATTAGGGCTTTCTTCTTCAAGATTTTTTTGATTATATAATTTGGTTTGGAGTAAGGTATGGGAGGTAAGTTGAAGAGACAGCTCTTGCTACAGATGGGGGCTTACTCCCTTGCCCAGCTAAAATTAAGAAAGAGGGAAAGTGCTCGTTTTAGCAGCATATATATATATGCTACACACACACACACACACACACACACACACACACACATTTATCAGTGTAATTATGACTGATTCTAGTTGTATGGCAGAAATCAACACAACATTGTAAAGCAATTATCATCTGATTAAAAAATAAAAAACAAAATAAACTTGGGATGATACAGAAGATTAGCATGGTCCCTGCACAAGGATAACATGCAAATTCATAAAGCATTCCATATTTTTTATAACTGAATCACTTTGCTTCACAGCAAAGATTGGCCCAACACTGTAAATCAACTATACTTCAATTTTAAAAATTGAAGGAAAGAAAGAGTCTCCTAGACTCATGCAGCTGGCTTTGGGGAAAGGTGTGTTATCAGAAATACACCAGGTACTTCACACCCACACGACACACATTCCCTGACCCATCTGTGCATATGTGGATGAACATGCATGAACATTTGAACTCATCTGTACAGAGATACCTACAGAACTTTCTGGGTGTGTACAACCATACACAAAGAGTTCTTTTGTTTCTGTAGTCTTTTGTTTCTAAAAAACTGCATTCATAAATATATTTTAAAGCTAACATTCTTTTCTGTAATCAATTCTAACTGGAATCAATTTTTAAGCTTATGTTCCCTAAATGGATTAGGCATTCCTGGAACTAGGCTTGCCCTACTTATTTCTGTGCCCCCAGAGACAAATCCAGGGCCTGGGACTATTAAGATAGCTCATAAATGTTTGTCAGGCAAAGGCCCGGATGAATGAATGATCCTCTTAAAAACCACAGGTTTCCTTAATGGTGAAGTTTCTCTAAATCTAGTGTAGTGGCTAATTGTTGTACTCTGAGTGGGTGACTGTATAAGAGAGCACATCTGTGTATGCCTAGTTAGTAGGGAGTTATGTAGACCAGGGGACACGCATGAGTGTGTGTGTTGAGATGAGTAAATGAGATTTTGCCAGGTGCCTGCACATTTCTGCACACGTGAATGAATATCAGTGTGTGGCCGAGACTAAAGTGGGGGCTGACAGGAGACATCCCCTGAGATGTAGCCCCAGCCTGGAGGGAGCCTGCACTTGCAATGAAGACCCTAAGTGTGTGACGAACGGCTTAAGGGTCTGCAAGCATGGGGGTGGGAAGTGGGATGAGTTTGTGAGCTGTTCCCCCAGGACTGGACACCTTAGTGATTTGGCTCCCTTCTCATTCAATTCCTCACCTGCCAGGACCCCCATGAAGCTCCTGGCCTTACTGAGCCTTCTGATCCTGATGCTGCAGGAAGCAGGGACAGCATCTCTCTCAAAGGAGGAGAGGGAAGAAGACCAGCCGTATGGAGAAGGCGATTCTTATGCCGTTCTGCATCTGGGGGACTATGTCCTGAGCCTGGACAACTATGATGAGATCATTGATCCAAGCAACTATGACGAGCTCACAGACTACGGGGACCAGATCCCCCAGGTGAGGGCCAGGCAGCCGACTCGCTGCATTCTCTGAAAGGAACTGGGAACCAGAGGCCTGGTCCCTCTCCACCTCGTAATCAGCTGTCTCAAGCCGCCATCTTTCCCTGCAAAGTGGAAATTGTTGTTCCTCCACAGGAAACTGTCACTTACATAATGCTAAGAAAGAAGACACAAAACTTCACATTTGTAGCAAAAATTGTGAGCCTTCCCTTGGAAGTCACACATCCCTCCCTCCCTCCGTCTTCAAATGAGACCATAAAGTCTATCTCACTGGAACATCAGCAGTGTCCTCACATTCTCCTAGAAAAAAGGAGTGCCTGTATAAGTGACTGTATAAGAGAGCACATCTGTGTATGCCTAGTTAGTAGGGAGTTATGTAGACAAGGGGACACGCATGAGTGTGTGTGTTGAGATGAGTAAATGAGATTTTGCCAGGTGCCTGCACATTCCTGCACACGTGAATGAATATCCTGTCCTAGACTGCCTTCCATTCCGAGGTCCATTCCTCAGCCCTGCCTGCCTTTGCAGGGGCTGACATGAAAATTGCACTCATTTGCTGTGTGAGCTGATCCCACAGGCAAGGGAAGGTCCCGGGTCAGGGGGTCTGGAGATAGGTCCCAGCTCTCCCACCAGCTTGGCCGCCTGCTGGCCCCCTGAGCTCAGGCCCTCCCTGTCTGGACCTCTGTTTCTGCCTCCATAGCATGGTGAGAGACCAGACGCTCAGAAAGTCCTTGCTTGTCACACTTTCCGCCCGTCCCGCCCCCTTCTCCACAGGGACTCTCTGTAAGCTTGGAATTGGTTGCTGAAGTTCGCAGACTACAAAGTGAAATTCCTCTCAGGCAAAAACTGACTGACTGTGTGCTGTGTCTCCAGGTTAAAGGGACCGGCCTGGCTTCTCTCACCAGGACACGTTTTACTCAGAGCACAGAGGTTGCAAGGACACTCCCTTCAAACCCCATGATGGCCAGGCCTCCGACACTAGGCTTGCTGGCTGCCCCGACCAACCATGGTAAGTTCACAGGCACAATCTCAGTAGCCACAGGTCACCGATTGGGTAGCCACGACTGAGCACCAGGGGTGCCAAAGAGGAGTGTCGTCAGGGGTGGAGAGCAGAGGGTCCGGGAGGGAAGGGGAAACAGCCGTGGGGTGGAACGTGGGAAACAGAGGGAGAGGCTGACTGTTCCTGATGCTTCTGCCTGAATGCACAACCTGGATGGAAGGCAAAGAAAGCAAGAACTCCCCTGTGCCTAGCAAAGCCACCTACCTTAATTAATGGCATCGCTGGGGGAGCAGGTTGAGTGGTAATTAGATTAAAGACAATTAAAAACCTGTACAGAAGAATAAATAACTTTGTGGCTGTCATTTGGCATGGGGGCAAATGAAGAATTTATTTTGCTTTTCAGCTTGTATTCCCTCCCTAGCATCTTCTCCCCCACTCCCTGAGGCCCTCCTAGAGACTCAGATGCTGGCATATCCATCAGTAGGGGGTTGGCACTCTGCTAGGGTTCAGAACTGAGGCACAGGAGGATGCAGTTAATTCCGGAATTGCTTGTTCTCAGTTCCTATTCTTCTCTTGAGATGTTTCCCTTGAGTGGGTACAGGGTAATGAGGCATCATTAGAAAAAACACTTCAGGCAGGAATCTATGACCTCCCAGGCTTAAAGGGCCTCAGCTGGACCTGCCGTCCAAGGCCTGGGAATAAGTACACTGTCTATCATGGCTGGTGAGGAAAAGCTGTCTCTTAATCTTGAGTCCATGGCACTACCAACAGAGTTCCTCTTTGAGCTAGACTAGCAATGATCTTTAGTAACCTCTGTCCTTTCTAAGAGCAAGAGATAGAAACTTTCTGCAGTATTCAATAAAACCTTCCTAACTCGTTAAAGCCAGTCTGAGCTCAGTGGCCTGGCCTAAGTCTCATGACCACTGGTCATAGACTGAGAAGAGGGGAGGGATGTTTCCCAACAGAAAACTGAGATGCTGATATCATAAGAAGGGGAAATGAATCCTAGGCAGTCAGTGTCCACTCTACCTTGACTCTATTACGCTTTTTGGAATCACCTAGAACCTAATTCCTCGCCCACAAGGCAGGTGTCAGAGTCAGCAGCCATTGGCCATTGCGCTGGCTTTGTATCATCTGCAGTGCACTTTTGGGGGCCAGAGAGAAGCCCCATGGAAAGGAGACTAATACACCCACCTCTATGGTTGCATCTAAATGTCCTAGAAATACCCACATAGGCCCAGAAAAATCTACACAGGACCCGGGTCTGATGGAGGCACTAAGGGCTTGGATTGTAATGGTAATAACTGAGGGGGGCTCTGCTTCTCTCAGTCAAGGGCTGAGTGCCAGACCTAAGCAGCCAGCAGCACTTCCGGGGGCACTGTGACAGTCGGTCTGGGTGGCAACCCGAGAAGACACAGGTGACCTCGGCTCAGACACTCCCTGGCCAGGTCTCACAGGGGTGTGGGGGTGGGGGTGGCGTGTCTCCCATTGGTCGCAGAGGCTGAGGAAGTCTCACGGAGGTGTGTGTGGGGAGGTGTCTCCCATTGGCCCCAGAGGCCGAGGGCATCTCACAGGGATGTGTGTGTGTTTGGTGGGGGGGTGGGAGGCGGTGTCTCCCATTGGTCTCAGAGGCTGAGGGAGTCTCACAGGTGTGTGTGTGGCGGGGGGAGAGGTGTCTCCCATTGGCTCCAGAGGCTGAGGGAGTCTCACAGGGGTGTGGGGGGAGCTCCCATTGGCCCCAAAGGCTGAGGGAGTCTCACAGGGGTGTGTGTGGCGGGGGGAGAGGTGTCTCCCATTGGTCCCAGAGGCTGAGGGAGTCTCACAGGTGTGTATGTGGTGGGGGGAGAGGTGTCTCCCATTGGTCCCAGAGGCTGAGGGAGTCTCACAGGTGTGTGTGTGGCGGGGGGAGAGGTGTCTCCCATTGGCCCCAAAGGCTGAGGGAGTCTCACAGGGGTGTGTGTGGTGGGGGGAGAGGTGTCTCCCATTGGTCCCAGAGGCTGAGGGAGTCTCACAGGTGTATATGTGGTGGGGGGAGAGGTGTCTCCCATTGGCCCCAGAGGCTGAGGGAGTCTCACAGGTGTGTGTGTGGCGGGGGGAGAGGTGTCTCCCATTGGCCCCAAAGGCTGAGGGAGTCTCACAGGGGTGTGTGTGGTGGGGGGAGAGGTGTCTCCCATTGGTCCCAGAGGCTGAGGGAGTCTCACAGGTGTGTATGTGGTGGGGGGAGAGGTGTCTCCCATTGGCCCCAGAGGCTAAGGGAGTCTCACAGGTGTGTATGTGATGGGGGGAGAGGTGTCTCCCATTGGTCCCAGAGGCTGAGGGAGTCTCACAGGGGTGTGTGGTGGGGGGAGAGGTGTCTCCCATTGGCCCCAGAGGCTGAGGGAGTCTCACAGGTGTGTATGTGGTGGGGGGAGAGGTGTCTCCCATTGGTCCCAGAGGCTGAGGGAGTCTCACAGGGGTGTGTGTGGTGGGGGGAGAGGTGTCTCCCATTGGCCCCAAAGGCTGAGGGAGTCTCACAGGGGTGTGTGTGGCGGGGGGAGAGGTGTCTCCCATTGGCCCCAAAGGCTGAGGGAGTCTCACAGGGGTGTGTGTGGTGGGGGGAGAGGTGTCTCCCATTGGTCCCAGAGGCTGAGGGAGTCTCACAGGTGTGTATGTGGTGGGGGGAGAGGTGTCTCCCATTGGTCCCAGAGGCTGAGGGAGCCTCACAGGTGTGTGTGTGGCGGGGGGAGAGGTGTCTCCCATTGGCCCCAGAGGCTGAGGGAGTCTCACAGGTGTGTATGTGGTGGGGGGAGAGGTGTCTCCCATTGGTCCCAGAGGCTGAGGGAGTCTCACGGGTGTGTGTGTGGCGGGGGGAGAGGTGTCTCCCATTGGCTCCAGAGGCTGAGGGAGTCTCACAGGGGTGTATGTGGCGGGGGGAGAGGTGTCTCCCATTGGCCCCAGAGGCTGAGGGAGTCTCACAGGTGTGTATGTGGTGGGGGGAGAGGTGTCTCCCATTGGCTCCAGAGGCTGAGGGAGTCTCACGGGTGTGTATGTGGCGGGGGGAGAGGTGTCTCCCATTGGTCCCAGAGGCTGAGGGAGTCTCACGGGTGTGTGTGTGGGGGGGAGAGGTGTCTCCCATTGGTCCCAGAGGCTGAGGGAGTCTCACGGGTGTGTATGTGGCGGGGGGAGAGGTGTCTCCCATTGGTCCCAGAGGCTGAGGGAGTCTCACGGTTGTGTGTGGGGGGGTCTCCCTTTGTTCTATCCTCCACCTGGACCAGGCCTGCCAACCTGTCTGATCTGCGTGTGCCTCGGTTCCTCTGTGTACTGTGATGACACAGACCTGGAGAACATCCCTCCTCTTCCCCAGACGACTGCCTACTTATACGCTCGGTTCAACCGCATCAGCCATATTCGGGCTGGAGACTTCAAAGGGCTGAGTATGTAACATCCTGGCAAAGAAAAGAGTGGGTGGGCAGAGGGAACCCCTCGGTTCTTTCCCTTGCCACTCAGCCACGCTGAACAGTCATTAGAGTGCCCCACCTGTGTCGGCCCTTCCCTGTGGCTTTCAGTCTCTCCAGCTTGGAAATTAGTCTAATTCCTGGCCTTGAAGGTTTTTCTATGGCAGAAGTGACCTGTTCTTGTTTTTGCTCCACAAAGCTATGGGAAGCTGGGGAAGCAAAGCTATGAGCAAGCTTATGTTTTCAGGCTGTCCTAGCAGCTGTAGCTCTCTGCCCTCCTGGCCTCTGGACAAAACCAGGCTAAAGCTGGTCTCTAACCCAGATTCTACCGCTAATTGCTGACAGGCTTCCCGGGCCTCAGAGTTCTTTTGGATTCTTTTGTTAGTTTGTGTAAACTAACAGGTAGAAGTAGGATGGAGCCAGGAATTCCTGCACCTGTTGGGTCTTACCCTTGGAAGCTTTCTTCCAAGCCAATCCACACAGGACAGACACTCCAGGGGAAGGTATCATGGAATCTGAGGACTTTGCCAGGTTTATCAAGGTCTTCCTTCTGGTTTGACCCTGGTGCAAGTGGAGCCCTGGCTCGCCTCCCCTGTGCTGAGACAGAAGGGTGTGGGCAGCTCCAGCAAGAGCAAGGGGAGATGGTGTGTCCCTGTGTTCTGCTCTGCACCTCTTAGCAAAACTGAAGAGGATTGATCTCTCTGGCAATTCCATCTCCTCCATCGATGACAAGGCCCTCCTCCTACTGCCTGCTCTGCGGGATCTGATCCTCCCTGAGAACAAGCTCACGGCACTGCCTGCGCTGCCCACCAGTATCGAGGTCCTGGATGTCCGCATGAATCGGCTCCAGAGCTCAGGGATACAGCCTGAAGCCTTCAGGGTAAGCCAAGGCCTTGCATCCCCGTCTACTGCATGCCACCCGTGCCCACAACCACACAGACACGCACCTGGCCCTCATGGAATATCTCTGTCCGAATCCTGCTCTGGGGCATGAAAGTCAAATGTCATTTTCTTTTTTTTTTTTCAATCTTTTGCTTTGATTTGCATTTATTTTTTGTGGCATTTATTCCCAGGCCATCAGTTTTTGTTTCTTCAGTTTCTTCTGAAAGGATATCTTTTTCTTCTGTGCAAACGTCCTCTTCTGGTTTAGGAACGATCTGTTCTTTTTCAGTAAGGGTCATCTCAACGTGGCAGGGGGAGCTCATTTCTGGGTTGATCCAAGTCCCGAGCTGTATCTTCGGGGCTTTGTTCCCATGAGATGCTGAGTGACCAGGGATCTAAGCCTTTCAGTCCAGCATTACTCTCTGCATTTCTGAGCACATGCAGTAAAAATTCAGCACTTTTTGGGCCACCAACCCAGCCCCACCCCTTGGCCCGGGCACACCTACCAGTTCCACCATTGTAACAATGGAATGGTAGCCCATATTGCTTCTGTAAAGTGACATCTTTCAGGTAACTTGGTAGCCTTTCAGATATGCATACCCTTAATGACCTGGGAAGTTTCACAAAAAGTTCTTAAAGTGAACAAGAGGATTTAAACCTCTCGATTTGCATGATTTTGTGGGGTCTTCTGGGTCAGGTGGATAGAGAACTGTTTTTAGAGCTCACCTCAGGCCACTTACAGAAAAGCCAAGCCCCGTTTTCTTCATCTCAGCCACCAGCAACTCCCCCTCCCCCTGTTGGGGCACCTGGCCTCTTGGGTTCTTCCTGTGCACCTCCCTGTGCCCCAGTGTCCTCCACACACTCACGTTCTGCTCCCCAAACACTTGGACTAACATGTGACTTGACTTGGAATTGTACTGATTCCTGCTCTCACTCTGCATATCTTTTTGTTTTCAGAACCCACCACTAACTGACCAGCCATTGTCCTTCTAGGAGCAATTTCTCAAGAGAGACAATCTGGTTGGTCCCTGGCTAGCCAGTTTCAACAGGAAGGGCTAAACGCATGGCACGGATATGGCCCCCTGGGCTGCCCATTCAGCGGTCCAGGGAGCCCTGGGGGCAGTCCCAGTGGGGGAACGGAGAGAGCTGTGAGTGAGGCTGACACCCCAGCTGTCACACTCACACGCACAACTTTCTCCATCGTGCCTGTCACTCTCCTCATGCTGGTCCAAGTATCTCCCAGACGTGCTCTCCATATTTGGTCCAGATTTAGCATCTGGAGATTGTTTTTCTTTTCTGGAGACTTTTCACTTGGGAAAGTCCCTTCTGATAGCAGGGGTGTTGAGCTGGGCCAGAATGTCCTGCTGGCCTGCTTCCCAGCCGTCCCTGCCCCTTGCTTGCTCCTTCCAGAGTCCCCCTGACACTGCTGAGCCACTTCATGGCGCTCAGCTACAGCAGCTGTTCCTTCTGCATCCAGTGGGAGGAGATGAGCCGTCCCTGAAGCTCCCAGCTCAGGACCCGGCACCTGCCTGAGGCCCAGGAGACGGGCCCAGGAGTGAAGGAATGGGGTCACCTCAGCACCCCTCACTCCTAGGGCCCCACAGAGCCCACCAGCCCCCCGCCTCCTTTGCCTCCTCCCCAGGCACTGGAGAAGCTGCAGTTCCTCTACCTGGCCGATAACCTGCTGGATACCATCCCCCGGTCCCTGCCCCTGAGCCTGCGCTCGCTGCACCTGCAGGTGAGCGGCTGCTCCGGGAACAAGGGTGTTGAACGGCACAGAAGGTGGAGGTCAGATTGCAGGGAGCCCCCTTCAGCAGTGGTGGGTCTCCGTCACTGAGAGCTCGGAGACCAGAGTTGGTGCCTCTCACTCAGACCACTGTCTACAGCCTCCGTCTCATTCCTTCCCCTTCCTGCCTTTTAAAACACTTCTCCTCCACGTTCTTATCCCACCTCACGCAGTGCTCACCCCTGCTCCCCTCCCCCTCTCCCTCCCCCCTTCTCCGTCCTCAGTGGGTCCCCGGGCTCCTTCCCTGGATGTGGCCCCAGCCTCTGGGCCCCGGTGTCTCCAGTTGCAAAGGGGAGGAGGTGGGCTGGTAGGGAGAGGCCTGAGCCCGCCTCCGTGCTGCCTGAGGGCAGACTCACCAGGCAGAGAAGCATCACAGCTGTGTTCTCTCCAGAATAACATGATAGAGACCATGCAGAGCGACGTCTTCTGCGACGCCAAGGAGCACAGACACACCAGGAGACAGCTGGAAGACGTCCGCCTGGACGGCAATCCCATCAACCTGAGCCTCTTCCCCAGCGCGTACTTCTGCCTGCCTCGGCTCCCCACCGGCCGCTTTGTCTAAGTCTGCCCGCCTCCTAAACAGCGACCTTTCATCCAGGGGTTAGTCAGCCTCAAGATCCAGTGGCAAAAACCCACTGCTCCCCCTCCCTCAACACACACCCACACACACACGCACACACATGCGCATGCACATGCACGCACACATATGCACGCACGCATGCACGCACACACGCACACACACACACTGAAATGTCCTCCAGGAGCCAGATTTACATCTCTCCATCCTCTTTCCTTAACACCTTATGGCTCCTGGGTCAAAGAATAGAGATGTCTGCAGCAAAGCTCTTTCCCATATTCCACATTCTTCCTACCCACACAGAAGGCCAAAAGAATCATGTAAGAAGCAGAGGAGGAACAGAAAGAGAAGAGGAAGGGGAATAAGCAGTCATGTGCTGGAACCAGTTCTTACTACTAGGCTTGCAAGAACTGATTATTAAATTTTCCAGAATTTTTCAAGCCAGTTGTTAAATGCAGTCATTATTAAAAACTAAATCATATAAGCTCACAATTAAATATTTTATGTTGAAAACAAATGCAATAAATACTCAAACTCATCACTTCCCAATTATTTTATTATGTTAAACTATTAACCATGTTCTTGAACTTATTTATGTCTGTGGTATCTGTAGTGGAAATACTATATAATGACATGCTTTTAGTGACATCACACTGGTAGTTTGAAATTGGCCATGGTGGGAGTATTTATACCACAGAATTAGTAAATACTACGTATTAGGATTTTATTAGAGAGAGAGCCTGTTCTTAAGCCTTTGCCAGCAACACTGAGGACGAAAACAGCTGTTTAAACTAGCCTCCCCCTAAATCCAGGTCACCCCACTGGGGGTAGGGTGGGGTTTCTGGGGCTTTTGAAAGTTCCTTGCTTTTCCTATGCCGAAGCTGGCTGTTAGACATGGAGGGAGCCTTTCCTAAGGATGGGGAACGGACATGAGTCTTGTCTGGAGGCCCTTCTTGCAACGCTTACCTATTCCTGGCTCTTCCTGGCCACACTCTCTTCCGTGCTTAACCACCAGATGGCAGCCTTGTACAAAGATAAATAAATACAGCAATTACTCATCTGCAGCTTTCCTGGAGTCAGGGCGGGGCCCACTGTGCTGGGAGAATGGGAAGAAGGGCAACTATGACCTGACCAACTTACTCCTTGAATTATAATGGTAGGAGAGATGTCATCTTTCTTCTTATAAGGACTTTGTGGGCAAGGGGGTGGTAATAGATGAATGCTTGGCATCAGGTTTTCATTGGAGCATAGAAGAGGGGTGTATGTGCTCAGTTGCTCAGTCGTGTCTGACTCTTTGCAACTCCATGGACTGTTGCCCTCCAGGCTCCTCTGTCCATGGGATTCTCCAGGCAAGAATACTGGAGCGGGTTGCCATTTCCTTCTCCAGGGGATCTTCCCGACACAGGGATCAAACCCACATCTCTTGCATCTCCTGCACTGACAGGTGGATTCTTAACCACTGAGCCACCTGGTGAGGCAGGCAGATCATGTATTCATTCAAGCAAGGGTTTTATTGAGCACCTACCTGCTATGTGCAGATGATATACAGCAGACATATTCCTTTTCTTCATGGAACTTAGAGTTGAGTGTGGAAGACATGTGTTGAACAGATAATCACACAAGTAACCACACTATTCAACTCATGATAAATACTGTAAAAGGAATATACAAAATGCTATGAGAACTTACAGAAGGGGGACACGGGTTAAGGGTCCAAGAGACCTTGAAGAATCAATGTCTAAGCTGAAAGCTGAAGGACTGGGAGCCAGCCAAGCAACCACTCAGTGCCCCCAGGTGATCCTCACGTCTGGATGAACGGGTGTGTCCTGTGGTCCACGTGGGAGGGGACCCATCTGTCTGCCTCCTCCGCCTCTGTCTAGCACTTCTGCAAGCACTGTGGATGCTCAGGCCAGTGCTGTAAGCAGACCAGTCAGGGACTATTATTCACATTCTTCAGATGAAGACTTTGAGAACTAGAGAAGACTCCACACACAAGCTGCAAACCGTGAGTGGGTGGGAAGGGACCCGGTTTAGTTGCTGCTGTCTGCCCTCTCTCCCTGGGGATCCGAGGATTCCAGGACCCAAGGACCTCTCTCTCTCATCCCCCAGTCACATCCTCTCCCTATCCCACACTATTTGATTATGACAAGGCCTTGGCATGCAGCAGCTAGAAACCACAAGATCCCTGAGTGCAAGAAACCCTGATTTGAAATAATCCAGTAAAAAGAACCAAAGAAATTTTCCAGAAGTGGGGCTCTCAGGTACCAGAAACTGCATCATACCCTCACACCCTGAGGTTAATACGTGCTAAGTAAAGAAAGGCATCTGACCCCTGTTCTCATGTAGCAGAAGTGGACTAAGGATTTCTGAACTCCTGGATTCTGCCAGATGTATATTAGGAGTTTTTATGCACATCAACTCACTTAGCCCCAAGCCGCACTCTAGTTAATAGTGATGTTGATCTCCATACTGTGGATGGCAAAACAAGCTTATGGAAGGGAGGTACCCACATCCACACAGCTAATAAGTGGCAGGGCCAGGATTCAGACCTGGGGCCCTCTAAGCACAGGGAGCCGAGTCTTGTTCTCACAGCACACAGCGCAGGCACTGCTGTCAAGGCCAGCCCAGCAGGCAGCTTCCTCCCTGAGGCTCAGCCTGCTGTGCAGGGTAGAATTTCCCCAGGGGCCTGCTGCCTCTGCAGCTGCCTCCTAACTAATCCCCTATTTTTGGCTAGGGAAACCCAAGGAACAGAAAACATGCCCTTGTTGGCCGCCCCCCCTCCCCCACAGAAATTCTAAACAGTGCATCTTTGGGCCCTCACGTGACCCAGGGAGCAGGGAGGGAGGAGAAATCCCAGCAGCTGTTTCATCTTGACTGAAGGATCTGGGGGCTCTTCTCCAGGACCTAGAGAAGCTAGGGTTGGAGCCTGGCAGGGGAAAGAGAGGGTGTCTTTTTATCCGGACTGAGGGTCTCCTGTCCTGAGGAATGGAAAGATGATGGGAATGAGCCCCCACTTCAGGAAAGGGAGAGCAGAGAGGAGGGGACTGCAGGAGGTCCAGTCAGTCAGGGAGGCACCTCACTGCTGACGCCGATGGACAGGGCTGTGTTGGCTTTAGATCCACCTCTTCCAAGAGCCAGTCTTTCCTAGCCTCCCTTGTGCAGGTCCTCGGTGGCAGGCAGCACCGTGCTCCACCGTGGCACATTTGGCAAGGACCCTTGCTCATGGGAGGCTCCTGGTAGCCCTCCTGCCAGCCCTGAGCAAAGGGGAGCACCCACACCACCGCCCCCCCGCAACACCCCCGTGGCCTTCAGGACGGTTCTAGCTCCAGGCAGGCGCCCTGACCAGTTCTGTGACTGTTGTGGGAAGAGGCAGAGCAAAGAGGGAGCGTTTGCAGTGACCGCCCTGTCGGCCCGCCTGTCTTCAACTCCACAGCCAGCCCAGGCCGGCAAGGGATGGGTGGGGAACGGAAGGAGGCAGGTATGCTTGAGGGGCTAGAGCCGAAGAGGGTTTCCTCACCCTGACCTTGCCCTGCAGCTTGTTTTCCCTTAAATTTCCTCCCTGAATAATAATCTCTTATGGTTATGCTGTAAATTGGCACTTTGCAGATCTCTTTAACATATGGGGTTGAATTTATAGTCCCTGTAACTCTGTGCAGATGGTATTATTATCTCTGCTTTACAGATAGAAAATGGAAGCTAAGTGATTTGCTCAAGAGCAAGTTGACTTAACAGATGGGAACACAAGGGGGAGTGAGGGAGACAACCTTCACTTGGGAATTCCGGCAGCAGAAATGGAAATCCCAGCCACACCTACTGGAACCCTGGATCAGTATCCCCCTCCCCACTCCCCAAGAGCTCTCTGAAAAGCAAAGAGAGCATTTCCCAGACTGGCAAAGCGCCTGCCACCTGCAGAGCTGCCGGCCCGCACACGGATGCTGCACCGGAGGTGATGAGGAGGAGATGGCTTCCGCGGATCTCAGCTCGGAAACCTCCAGGCCTCAAGGACACGCTGCACCCCACCCAGCAGGTGTGTGGACAGCCCAGCACCCACGTGCTCCTGTGTCCCTGCCTCTGAGGAAGGAGGGCCAGCAGATGTGGGCCCGCCCACCCCCCCTGCTGTCTGGCTCTCTCCCTCTCTCCTCCCCCGGGCCTGCCCCTCCCAGCTCCACACACTAGACACCAGCTGGTTAGGCCTCTCCCCTCTTTCAAGGTCGTCTCTCTCAGCTGGACCAGCTTCCCATCCCCCGGAGCCACCATCTCACAGACTCCCTCCTGCTGCTGCTGGCAGCTTGAAGAGGGGCTGCATGTGGAGGGGGGCCGCTTCTTTCCCCACAGCTTCCGTGTCTCCCTGCTCTTCCAAGGGTGATAATGCAGCCGAGCGACCGCATCCTGACTGTCTCACTGCTCAACCTCCCCAACTCAGACCTGCTTCTCATCTTCAGACCAGCCTGTTCATCCCTCCTGGGCATGGCCACACGTATGACTGGGACATATGTGTGCACACCCTGCAGCACACACATGCAAAGCATGCTACCCTGGCTCTCTCTTCCCTCTACATCTGACCCCTTTTCTGTAGCCCCTGCTGCGCCCCAGGCGCTGGAACAAACAGTGCTAGCCTTCTGGCAACGCGGGTCCCGGCCCCATTGCCCAGAACCCTCATCTCTGGTGTGCGTCTAACACACAATTCACACACAGGAGGGAACGCAAAGCGTTCGGTGCTGAAGCCACCTGCAAAGGAGCAATGGTTCTGGGAAGAGCGCTGGTATGAGACTCCAGAGCCCTGAGTCTGACCAGCCCAAGCCCTGACGTGCTATGTGACGTGTGGCAAGTCATGCCAGCACCATGCCCTGTCTGCCTCCTGCTTGGGGCTGCTCAGCCTAATTCTGTGGCTCAAGGCATAAACAAGCCTGGTGGACGAGGTGTCTCTCCCCATCCTCATTATTTTTCTCGTCTAGGAACAAAGACCAAACTCTCCCAGGAACCTG